ATTTTTTTTGTTGTCGATTTTATTTCCCATTTCGGCCCATGCGACGTATAAGTATTGTTCGTTGCTCATACGTTACAGTAAACACAAATTCAAGTTCGTATTGCTTGCAAGTGAAGAACGACACTCTGATGGGAAAATAGTTCAGGAATATAAAATAGTTAAAAGGAAGATAACAGTGGCTATGCCTATCATCTTATAATCTATGCAAAATCAGATGCAGAAGTCCTACCCATACCAACAGTACTGCCAACTTTGATTTACTGGATAGAATTTAGCAATATTTTGTGCTAGGTCGCCCAGGTTAAAGATTATCGATTTTTAATTGAATTACATAATATATTTTTATATATTTTTTAACGATTTTCTGGTCTAGAACTCAATCAAACATATAATACCCCCAACACATAGTGTTGTAGGGTATAAAAATGCATATTTTAAGGAATTCCGTGACATGAATTGTTGAGTTTTTTAAAAAATATTTTTTAAGGACTCTTTGGCCAAAATTTTTGGTTTTTTACAAATATTATTCAGGATCATCCTGGCCGAAAAATTGTGTATTTTTAAAACTATTTTTTGGATTTATTTATTTTTTTTTTTTTTGGAAACATCCTAAAATGATAAATTCCTTTCAAGGTCTCTCAAGGGAATAACGTGTTCTTTAAGTTTTTTTGTGGACTTTCGAGTCAAACATCGGTTTTTTTTTGAATAGTTTTACTAAGTATTCCTAGACAAGGTCATGTTAAATAATTTGGTGTTAAGGACTTTCTTTATTCCTCCGTTATCATGTAATTTTGTTGAAATATTCATATATTTACATGAAACAAAATTTACATACAGTGCGTTTAAATGCATAAGTCATAAATGTGTTTGCTGTAACTTTCATTTTATGGTTAATAATGTATTTATATTATTTAATTAGTGCGAAAATCCGTAACTCATGATGTCACAAATAAATTGGTAAAATTAGCATCCCATCTATTCAATAACATTTCAATGAAAATGTATAATTTTTATTTCAAATAATTTTCGAAAACATATATTTCCCCTGTTCATACGTTTCCTATCAGCTATTTACTTTCATGTCAATCAAAACAATTTACTGATTAGCCCGGGTGACGTATACGTATCGGCGATACGAATACTCAGAGCAATTAATTGATTGATTTTCATGACGTACATACATCTGTATATTTTTTTATACCTCCCAACAAAATGTACGATTTTAAACAACTTTGGAAGCATTTGGAAGATATAAAAGTGTGCCGAACAAAAGAATCTAATTTGATTAATTTGAGAAAAAAAATGAACTCATATTAATGATAATTAGAATAATGAGAACTAATATTTATTAAATTCCTCAAAATATTAATTTAATTATAAAATTTAATGAAAGACTTCTAAAAAATGTACGGAAAAAATTAGAAGATTCCTTAGATATATTTCATGGTAGCTTTAATTATAATACGAAGACCAACAAACGTAGGCTATTTAAAATTAAGGAATGTTAAAAGATTAATAATATGGTCAAAATCCCTACATTCATTTCTTTATTAATAGCCTGTTTTATTATATATTTTTTTGTCTTAATTAAGTTAAAAAAAATTGAAATACCTTAGAAATCATGTGTATCAAACGTAATGAATAGAAATAAATTCCTCCACATAATCTGATTTAAACACTAATTTTTTATTATTATTTCTGCATGTTATGGGTGGCGCATAAATAACATTTTTTTTATAAATTCAGATGTTCTTTCTCTAATTATTATAAATAGCATGGCATAAATTCATAGCTACAAATCTTGGATTATTAAAGAGGATTTGTCAAAAGAAACCCCTTTCTTCAAAATCATACTGATTTTAATTTTTTTTTTTTTTCAACAATATATACTGACCAAAAATTTTGATTTGAAGAATAGGATACTAATGGCGGATTTAAAAAAAAAACTGAGGACTTTCAGTCAAGACGTAGAATTTTTCTACGTTTTTACAAAACCTTCCAGGCCAAAAATATTTGAGTTTATTTAGGCTTTTGTGGTCAAAAATCGTATTTTTTAAAACTTTCTGGGGCAGGAACTAGAATTGTGAATTTTCCATATTTTCCCCACACCACAAGGTGGTCAGGGTATTATGTCTTTGTGCAATTCTTTGTAACAGGCAAAAGTAAACAAGATAGACCCCTAGTTCCTTTTGATGATCTGCATAGAATCACATTCTGAGTCGATTTATGCATGTCCGTCTGTCCGTCCGTCTGTCCGTCCGTCCGTCCGTCTATCCATGTATTTTTGTAAACAATTGCCCCGCATTTATTGCCCGATCAAGATGAAATTTTGCAAAAATCATTTGGTTGGCCCAAGGACGAACCTTGAAATTGGAGATAATCGGTCAAAATTTAGATATAGCTCTCATATATATCTTCGTCCGATTTGCCTTTTATTGTGCACCAAACGTGTAATATCAGCCCAAATAGTATGGAATTTTGCACATACGATCAGATTGGACCTGAAAATAAGTATGCCAAATTTGATCAAAATCGGTTCAGATATAGCTATAGCTCTCATATATATTGTTCATCCGATTTGTTATTTTTGTCCTCCGCAGCCGTAATATGCACTCTGTAACAACAATATTAAGGGAAATATATCAAATACAGCTCAGAAATACATTTGCTAAATTTTATCGAGATCGGTTCAGATTTGGATATAGCTACTATATATATTTTTATCCAAGTCCGAATTCAAAAAATACAAATGCTTCGGCATATTTAGTCCTTTGAACTTTAAATTATAATTATAGTTATAGCGTGTATGATTGAATTCTCCCATAAAAGCTTTTAATTGTTATGCGGAGCTCTACCAAATTAGCAAAGTGGTGTAGGGTATCATAAAGTCAGCCCCGCCCGACTTTAGGACTTTCTTTACTGGTTTTATAATATTTTTTCAATGGTCTTGATTGGAATCGTATTTTTTTTAATTTTGAAGGATTTGCAGGACTAGAATTGGGAATTATTTCAAATTGCGCATTTTTTATGATTTTTATACAGTGATCTGGCTTAGAATGGTAGATAAAAAAAATTTAAATAGAATCAAAAATATTTTCTTAAATACTGGTCCACAAATCGATTTTTTGGAATTTTTAATTTTTTTTTTTTTTTTTTTGTTTTCAAGAAGTTGCTGATCAGGTATCTTGGTATTTTATTGAGGGGTTTCTAGCACTTGCTATCCACGAAATGCAGATTTTTAGGTGGTCCACGAATTATAGGTGGTCAAAAATATTTCCCATGAAGCTTTTACCAGGAATACTGTTTTTTATTAATATTCACCGTTTTCCTAAATCAGAATTTTTAAATATTTTTCAAGGAATTTAAAGCCAACAATCGCGGATTTTCAATGAATACTTTTACAAAGTCTTCCCAGGCAAGATTCGTGGTTTTTATACTCTCAGCCATATGGCTACAGAGGGTATATATCATTTGATACTGCCAAAACGTGGCTCATCGAAAAAAACGGTTTTAGACCCTAGGTCTCTTTGGACCAAGTCCGTTTTAGGATATTTGGAGTCGATCAAAGTTTATCGTTCGAAGGGAGTATCCGATTTTGTCCAAACTTGGTACATCGCAATATTATTGTCAAAATTTAGATCGAGTTCGGAGATGGTCCACTCCTCCTGGTAAAGGTTGAAAATTTAAAGAAAGGATAATCCGATATTTCCTCCACTAGACAAATTCTCATATTTATAACAGTGCCAGGTCTGGTGAGAAAATGAACAATGTCGGTACCACCCCCAAAAACGGTCAATAATTGAATAATTGTAACTTTTATAAAATGTGGTGTAGGAGTCCGAATTACATACATCACAATATTTTCATTAACCAAGGTCTGGTATCGAGATCGATATATCGGTCCACTCATTTTGGCACCTCCCCCACAAAGGATCAAAATTTTAAATATCCATGAAGCTCATAAAACGCGAAATTAACATCCGATTTCATTGAGACTTGGTGCATCTCAATATTTACATCAACATAAGATTGTAGAGACCTAATTATTTCTTCTGGTATCTCCCCCACAAAGGGTCAAAATTTTGAATACACATGAAGCACATAAAACGCGAAATTAACATCCGATTCCATTCAGATTTCGCGTTTCTCAATATTTCCATCAACACAAGATGGTAGAGATCTAATTATTTCTTCTAGTATCTCCCCCACAAAGGGTCAAAATTTGAATACCCATGAAGCTCATAATACGCGAAATAATGAATTTTCTAAAGAAAAAAAAAAAAAAAAAAAACAAGTACCTCGTATGAAAAAATTTAGGTATTTTTATGAAACTCTCAACTCTCGCAATTTCTTAGTTCGGATTGCAAAGACCAACCCAGCCCAGCTTAACCTCAACTCCACACATAACGACGAACCATATACCAAGATTCTAGCCATTTGTTGATGTGGCATTCTGTCTCATAACTATCAATTAACTCTTTTATAAAGTCATTTTCTATGGATTTTGTTTTGCATATTTTAAGAAAATGATAGTATTTAATATATATTAACTTGTTGTTGTATACATTTTCTTCTGTACTTCATTAAAATAATATCAAATTCCATATTTAATAATAAGCCCTTCTCCCATCCGAAATTATTAATCAACCTTGATGGCTAAAAAAAATCACAGGGACAACGTTGAATGTGAATAACCTCTTAATCATTAAAAGCTACTAAATTCTGAATAGCTTTCGCCCTACACGTGTTTACTAATTTAAGAGCAATATTGACCAATAGCCGTTGTAACTGCTACCAATAAGGCCATTGCCAGGGAACCACCCACAACACAACTCCAACTGCCTTATCGGCTTTGCTGCTGCTGCTGCTGGTGGTGCTCAGGCAACCATTTGTGGTAATGAAACACATGTGTTTATGCTTGTTTACAGCTTTCATAGAAACCCAAGTACAACAACAACACAAAAAAGCAGCAACAGATTTCCAATTCTATTTTATTTCAGGTCATAAAAATCATTAAGCAACAAGGCATACAGTAACCAACACAAGCACACAAACACATATTATACGGTACGCCTTTACATACTTAACCTCAAACTAAGTTGTAAAAATAAAATAAGAAGCTAAGGAGAGAACCAGCAAAAAAAATCGACAACAACATAATAATAAACGAAATGCTGAAACTGAAACATTCAAAAACCAGAACCCATCTCTGGCTCTTGGCCCCCACATAATCCACAGCAAAATTCCATCAACTGCAAAAACTAATTTACGAGCAAGAAAAGCAAAACAACAACAAAAAATCCGAAATAAAACCACAAAATGTTTATAAAATGTAGTAAATTTTACCAACGAAAAAATACACACACGCACACATTTACCCATGCCTAAACTCGTAATAAAACATTCAGAAAAAACTAAATTGAAATATAACTACGTAATACGCTAACGAAAATAAATTCTAGAAATTGGAAGGAAAAAAATCGGCGAGTCCTTAAGGCAATTAATATTAAATGCTATCGCAATTGTAAATTGCAATGATCCCAAAAGGGGAATTTTCGCGAAGGAAAAAATTGTTATTAATTAATTGCAAATATTTTTCAATTAATCATTCACGGATAGGAGGAAATTGTTCACTGCATTTGGAACAGGGATGGAAATTGGGCAGTTTTGAAAAGTTGAAGTTTCAAGAGAAAATAATTTTGGATATATTTTTTAAATGTTATCACAGGAATTGGAATATCGACGGATTCGTTATTTCTTTTGCTAAAAGTCTCTAAAATCTCTTATTACAAAATATGTAATTTTTGGACATAGAAAAGGATCTCTCGAATATCACGATTTTTTTGTCACACAAATATATACGATTTTTTAGAAGACGAATCTTCAATATTTTTTTCCAAAAATTAATAATTTTCTAAATTGCCCTAAAAATTTGCGATATCTAATTCAAGATATTGAGCAATGTTTTAATTTTTAATAATACTTTTTATTAGGACTTTCTGGACAAAAATCATGGATTTTTTTTTTCATTTTTTAAAGACTTTTGACGAAGAGTCGAATATTTTATGTTCATATAATTTTCTAAAAATTGGTGACATCAAAAATTTAAATATTCAAGATTTTTAGAAAATTTCTAAATTTTATGAATAATTTCTTACAAGGACTTCCTAAATCAAAGTCGTGTATTTTCAATAAAGATTTCAATAGGGTCTTCCTAGACAAAATTTTATTTTTTTTTAGATAATTGTCAAAGACTTATTGGACAAAAATCGTTGCAAACGGGTAAAAATAGTTAAAAAGTATCAATCGGTTTTGCCGACAGATGTATACCCTCAGCCAATGTTCGATTATTTAAATATATTTTGACTGTTATGATTATTGTTGTTGACAAAATTTTGACCTTCTGTGAAGTAGGTTCCGAAGGAATGGGTCAATATTTTAAGAGTCATAATTATTAACAAAATTGACCCTTTGTGGGGGAGGTACTTGATGGAGTGGACCGATATTGACCCAGCACTGATGCAAACATTAGGATTTGGAAAGGTAGAGCAAAATCGGGTTATCCTTTCTCTTTCTGTACAGTAAAATATTTTTTTTTTTTTTAATGTTGATCTTTTGTGGGGGAGGTACCAAAAAGAGTGGACCAATATTGCCCATCTCCAAACTCGATTTAAGTTTTATAATAATATTACAACCAGACGGACTGACATCGCTAGATCCAAATGTACTGAAACGGATTTGGCCTTAAGAGACCTATTGTGTCTCTTTCGATGAGGCACGTTTTGACCGTTTCTATTTATATCATTCGAATTTCAGAACGATTAAATTAAAATATATTTTACAGAGCTATATCTAAACCGACTTTTACCAAAAGCTATCCTATTTCAACTGATATTACACTTTTGGTGCAAAACAAATGTAAAGTCGGATAAAGAAATATATAGAAGCTTTATCTAAATTTAAACCGATCTCTATAAAATATAGCAGTGGCATTTCTATGCTGTATCTGATAACTGGAACCAGATATCAGACAATAAATGCGAACTGTACTTTCTGTGCAAAAATACATGGACAGACGGAATGACATAAATCGACACAAAAAGGAAATATAGTCTATTTCGATTCATTCTGCATGTTACAAATAAATGCACAAAGACATAACATACTCTGACCAAAATGTGTTGTTTTAAAATTTTCTAGAGAATCTACGATTTTCGTCCAGTTTCAAAAAAAAAAAATATTCAAAAAAAAAAAAAAAAAAAAATTGAAAAAATCGCAAACAATTATAAACAAGTGGTTATTGAACAAATTTTTGACAAAATGCGCAGACAGTAAATCTGGTGAAAATATTAGCAAAACCCTCCGACATTATTCGGCTAGGAAGTTTGTGGAAAATATTTATAAAATGCGAACTTTTAGAATAATCTACGACTTCTGTTCTTGAAAATGTTTGAAAAATCCACGAGTTTGGCCCTTGTAAAATATTGTTAAAAAGAAAAATACCATCTATGTCTAACAATTCATGGATAACTTGTAATAATATTAATATTAAAATAAATAATATAGTTGAAAGACTTATGAACATTATATGTAAAAAACCTTGTACATTATATGTAAAAAGTCCTTAATCTAGGCCTGAAAGTTGGTTAATATTTTTAAAAAATCTTAGACCAGAAAGTCATTGAATTTATTTTTTTAAAATTTAGCACGTTAAGTCAGCTACTTTTTGACAGGACATCCTTAAATAAAATTAGAATAAATTGGTGATTGGTGGCCGGGATACATTTCATAGGATATTCTTAAAAATAATTGAAAAACGAATTCAAATTCTATCAATGTCTATTTGTTATAGAATATCCTACAACCTATTTGGAAATCAACGAAACGGGAAAACAATAGAATATCAAAAAAAAAAAAAAAAAAAAACGATTCTTGATGAAGAAATAGTTGACCAATTAAAAAAAAAAACTTTGGAACCTAAAAACCTTTGACAAATACTTTTGCAAACTACATGTTTTTTAGCCGGGAAGTTCTTGGAATATTTTGAAAAAGTCTAATATTATTTGCTAGGAATTTTATAGAAATATTTTATAAAAGTTTATTATTGCTGTCAAGGAAGGAGTTGAAAAAAAAAAAAATACATAAAAAAACAATTTTTCTTGAAAATTAAAAAAAAGCAAGTAAGCAAAGGCTACAGTCGAGCGGGGCCGACCGTTGAATACCCTACAACACTATAATAAATGATACAGTTTATATAGGCGAGATACTCGAAAGAATTCCACAAGATATTGTGACAAATAATAAAAGAAAACCATCAGGTTTCGTTCTCTAATTTTCGAACTATAGAAACTGAAACTAATTTGCTCATTTCCAATTTATTGGTAGATGTTGCACGTAAATGGTCTTCCTAGATCTGGAACCAATATTTCCCAAAGACCTATAATCTCTCAGAAGTGGCAAAAGATTAACATTTATTATTGGTTTTTGACTAAAACGCATCTATATGAGATACAGACATTTGACTATATTCTTCAACGAAATAGTCAGAAGTGCGTCTTTCCTGTATTTGTGAATTATCCAAAAAGGCAATGGAATGGATATTTTCGTATTTTGTCTACAAAAGTTGGCAAACTATTTCACACATTGAATATTTTTGGATGGCCATCCAAAACTATTTGGCTTTTGCAATGTCCGGTAACCTCCATTCAAATGCGCGTGAGGATCGGGCGATAATTACGACTTGCTGACAATTTTGCAGTTTTTTTTTTGTCCATTTCAAATATATGGCGATTATCTCCAAAAAGAGTAGGCTTCTATTCTGACCCTCATCTTATCTCCATGCATTTCATAAGAATCGGGCCATAAATGCGATCTGTATATGATATCCTAATATCCTAACTACTTAGTTTTGTTAGCTGTAGAAATATTATCAAATGTTTAATTCAAAATGAAAATATGCCAAAAATATGACAAAATTTAAAAAAATATAAGAAAATATTACAAAATCAATATTTTCATCTTTAGAGAGATATTTTTATGCATTTTTTTAGACGTTTTTTCTTTCCTGCCAAGAGGCCATTTTGAATTAATGAGAACTGTCGAAATCAGTTCAGCCGTTCTCGACATATAAGAGATCTTTCATATATATCGCACATATTTTGCTATATATCCGATTTGATGGATGTTAACATCAATGTAAAGATCAGAAGTAACCTTGTCAAGGCTTTGTGATTTCGCCGGGATTTAAAATATTCGCGGTTTAATGAAAATTTTTGAATTTTTTCAACACCAAAGATATGGTCTATTTTACCCGCTAAATATTATCCGATGACCACAAAATTGGTAGGCTTCTTCCCCGCCCTAAACTCTAGCTACATGCGAAATTCCGCGTCGATTGGTCTATAATTGCGACCTGTAGAGCAACTGCAAAATCAGGAATTGTTTCAGTTTTTGGTCCATTTCAACCATTAAATATTATGCGATAATCTCCAAAAGATATAGGGTTCTATTCTGACCTTAACCCCACATACATTCTAAATTTCGTGAAGATCGGGCCTGTAGCGTGATTACAAATTAACATGGACAGACGGATAGACGGACAGACGGACGGACGGACATACATAGCTAGATCGACTCAGCTCGGCGAGCTAGGAAGATCCATATATACTTTCCTATATGGGAAACCAATATTTCGAGGTGTTACATAAATTCTGGCCCAATCAAACTTATAATACCCCCAACACATAGTGTTGTAGGGTATAACTACGATAGGAGGTGCTTGGCATAATTTTCTGAAAAAAAAAAAACAAAGTTTGTCCAGGAAGTCTTAATGTTCATAAAAATTCAGGATTAATAAAAACTTAATTTTTGATACCAATGTTATTGAAACAAGTCTTTTTAAATTTAAACATAATATAATTTGAAGAAAAAAAATTAAATATTTCTGGACAGATCTATTTTAATATATAATTAAAAAACAATATAAGGACAAGATATCCAGAAAACAATTTTTAAATTGGACGAATAACTTTAGAAATTTTCAATTCTTAGCCAGGAAATCCTTGAAAATTTTTAAACAATTTATGAAGTGGAAGTTTTTGAAATATGTTTTCCATTTTTTTTTGCAGAATTTCCATTGAATAATTGTCTAACAAAATTCAATGTTTGCAAATAAAAAATAATCGGAGATTTTCGTCCAGGAAATCCTTTAAAAATATTCAAAAAATAATCATTCTTCGCCGGGAATTTTTTGAAAAGATATCCTTAACAATTTTTGGAAAACAACTTTAAGTTTAAAATCTAAAAAATCTACGAAGGTTGGCAATATGAAATACTGAAATATTTTTCTAAAAATTCACAATTATTCAAAGGAAGACCATTCAAAAACATTTCTAAATCCTTGGTAAACATTACCATGTTTCTCCACAAATAAACAAACGTTGTTTTTAAAAAATAACAATAATGGGATTAAGCCTGACTATTTTGCAACGACAAAATACTATGGTATCCCCAAAAAAAATGCCAACACTGTTCTATCCCTGAAAAATATTAAAAAAGTAGGAAAGAAATTTAGAAAAGAAAACGAAAAATATTTGCTCAGGAAGTCTAGTAGCCTTGTTTAACTCTTCAAATCTTGGCCGGAAATATTCCAAAATATTTTAAAAAGGAATCCACGATTCATAAAAAATCCATGGTTATTGGCCAGGAAATCCTTGAAATTGTATTTTAAATCTTTTATTTTTGGACTTTATTTTTAATAACCTTTGATATGATTAAAATCCAATCTGTTGGGTTAAGAAATGTTTTGAGACGATGTATTATATATTTTTAAAAAATTATGGGTACCCAAATTTTGTAAACTTATTATTATATTCTTGCCTATTTCAGAACTTGGTTAAGAGACAACATTACATCAATTCTACATTTCCATCCCTGTGGCAAAACACCAACTATATCCCTTCATAGCAGTGAATGAAAAATCAATTCATATTAAAATTGAAATATGAACTCATTTATATTATCGCAAGCTACAACAAACCCAGCAATAACTCACCGCAGAATGGGTGAGTGGCGAACGAGCGAGAGAATGACTAACTTCTCTAAGCCATCTAATTGCCAATAAATTGCTCATTGCTGTTAATTTGCAGCAAATAAATTGTGCGAATTTGTCGTCATTTTTCACAAAAAGAAAGAAAGAGAAAAAAACAATAATAAAATTGTGTTTTTGTTATTGTCAATTTTGTAAATATGTCTATGTGGCAGTACGTTTGTATGTAATTGGCGGTGGTCGTTTATCGTTGTTGTTGTTTTTTTCTCATCGCGTGTTAGTTGATAGCTTTTTGGGTGCTCGCTCGGTCGTTGAAACTTTCTCACACTATCGCCTGTCATACACGACGACATGGCCCCTACACATTTTATGTGTTTTAGTTGTTGTTGTTCGATAATTTATTATTGTTTTTCTATTGTTCGTGCCGCCAACGGGCGTTGGGTGTAACAACACAACACAACGCTAGCACATACACCCCCTCACCGCACCGCATCCCACCAGTCTACATATAATAAGTGCACAATTTGACAAATTGCATATTTGTATTGTTTTTATTATTGGTTTTTTCCTCGTCTTTTGTTTTGCTTTGCTTTGTTAATGTGTGCGTGAGTGTATGTCATTGGCCTTTCTCTATATCTTACAGTTTTTATTGGAATAACTTCGAATCTACGTTCCAAGTGAGTCTCTCTCTCACTCTCTCTTTGTGTGTGTGCGTGTATCTCTAACATCGTTTCAAAGTGGCGCCACAGGAATTTCTATCGTTACTCATTCGTAGACAAAGTCAAGTGGCAAAAATGTTATTTCGAAAATGTAAGTATATAATATGGTGTGTAAGTGTGTGTGTGTGCGTGTAAACTCAAAACACTTTGTTATTTCTCTTTTATTAACACACGTTTTTTTACAGTTGTTGTGCATTGGAATTGAGTGTTGGCCAGTTTAGGTGGTTGGGTGAAGAAATAAATGTTTATATGTCTTTGAATTTGACACTGAGTGTTATGAAAGAAAAATCTAATCAAAGGATTGGACAGTGTTTTTTTTTTTTTTGAACGATGTCGTAGCTATGTATGAAACTCACTTTAAAGGTCAAAGGTCATTGTTAGTTATGAACCTATAACATGCATAATATCGGTTGATATACTAATAAATTACAGAAGGAAATAAATATTTTATATCAGATTGCCATACATTTTGAATTTCATGTATGAAAATACTAGCTGGCCCGGTCCGCGTTGCCGGCCCCTACATTTAGTTTTTAATGCATATTTTTTAAGGCATTATAGAACACTGATCTCAATGATTTCAAAATAGTCAAAGATAATTGGTCTTTTACACCCATTACCTTAAGATAGGAATTAATTTATTTTTGCTACACT